GTCAAAATTAGTTGAATAATGTATGGACTGTTGCCATACGAGTGCCTGTATGTGAGTAGTAATGTTAACCACACTCTATATGGCATTTGAAGGCATTCCGCAACAATGAGTTTCCGCCGGATTGAGACAAATAATAGGCAATAAATATTTTTCTATTATTATAGAAATATTTCTCGTAATTCTCCTGCCATTCAAGTCAACCAAAGCATTGAGTCCTTCAAGTGTTTCAGACATGGTTTCAATAAACAAAAGTTTCGCTTTTCATTTAAATGAGTGCCAAATCACATATTAATTCACTAATTGAACGCTTTTTTCAATGATTAGTGTCATTACTACTGTTTACTAATCTACTCGTGTGCTGTTCAATGTTAGATATAATTTTGGTCAAGTTTACAGACATTTGTTGGAAATAAAATTTATTTTTAAGAAACTATTATTTTATTGGAGTTATTTAAATTATGATATTTTATTTTATTTATTTAGGAAATGCATGTCTAATGATTTTTTTTCATTATGTTATGCAATACACATTTCTTTGAATATAATTATGTTACAATTTATTTTATGTTGAACTGGAACTGTATGATCTACCTGTGCTACAATGCAGTAGGGCATACTATACAATACAGTACAATAACTACTATAGAATAATGTGTACTTATATTATTGTAGTTAATTGAAAGTTCATTTACACATAAAATAATATGTATAACAAGTAATTTTAATAATTATAGTACAGTATACTGTATGTCAACAGTGAAAATCGTGTTATAGTTAATGTATTTGTAAATAAGTTTTAAACATGTGCCTAACTGTTGAATATTTGATATTTTGTGATAAATTGTTTCAATTTTTGTCACTAAAAGTTTTAATTAATTTATCAAATTTACTTTATACTGAAAATTTATGAAAAGTTTTAATAATGCTAATTATTAATCGTTTAATAGTATAAAATATAATGAAAATGTTTTTAATTTAAGTAAGAGTTCAAATTATTGTATTTTAAATAATTAATAATTAAAAATAATAAAATTGGTACTGGTACAAATATACAAAAAATTGTAAAATCTATGCTAGGTGGTAAATAATTTAAATATCGGTTAAATTCTTGGCGTAAACTGCATCCTAATGGGTGTTTTTGGTCTTATCACGAGTTCGGGCGCTATTTTGATGACATCCCTGTGATCCAGCGATTTGATTGTATAATGTCTCAAAATTGTGGCTAAAATGGTCTTCTCCTCCAAGAGCGCGAACTTCTGTCCGATGCAATTGCGAGGGCCGGCAGAAAACGGCACGAAAGCAAAGGGATGTCGTGTCATATGACTGTTGTCCAGAAACCTCTCGGGTCTGTACACCTCTGGCTGTGGAAAGCATTGCGGATCCCTATGGACCTGATATAAAAATATCAAACACGTCACCCCTTTTGGCACAGTATAGCCATTAATGATATTGTCTTCGTTGAGATGTCGGCCCACGAATGGCACGGAAGGGAACAGACGTAAGGCTTCCTTAATACACGCCTCCAAGTACTTCATTTCGCGCAAATCATTCATATTAATCACACCATCACTACCGGTGCCGCCAAATATAGCGTCCAATTCCTCGTGACATTTACGCTGGATGTGTGGGCTGAGGCCAATGAGGTGCAGAGTCCAGCTGATGGCCATGGATGTGGTGTCGTGTCCCTCAAACATAAAAGTGTCCACTTCTTCCCTAATATCCTCTTCCGTGAACTCACTGTTCCTCAAATGTTCGCTCAGAAGGCTGTCGAGGAATGCCATTCGACGCCTCAAATCGCAGCTGCCGTCCCCCACCTCCTCGTCCCCATTGTTTGCCATCGTTTTCTCGTCTTTATTAATAGACTTCTCGTCGAGTATTTCCCTCTTTCTCTCCTTAATAACCTGCGAATGGAAGAGCGAAATGAGAAACAAATTTGTCGTTCAAATGATTGCCAAAGAAATGGTTTTTATATTTATTTTCCATTCACTCCTTATTATGATTTTCTCTTTTTTATTTCCTTCTCTCTCTCTCTCTCTC